GGATGATTCATATCTAGCTTTCTTGTTTATATAATCGATCAAAAGAATTAAGACTTTGGGCGGTTCATGAAGAAAGTGTGTGACGTGTTGAGTTTACTATTGAGAACGTGTAGAGACACACGGTGACTCAGCTTGTGTGTAAGAGATTTACTTCAATGTTTATTGAACCCAACTTGAAGAAGCGTATCATCTGGGTTCTCGACACGTGTCTTTCCGTACTAGTACACGTGTCTCTTTTGGGTTTCTCTACCGATGATGCTTTTTATCTCAACTTTGAGATTGGTCGGTTCTTGACATTTGGGCTTCTTTACTTTTTTATTAGGCCCACTTATGGCCCAATTATATCTAATTAGTTGTGTATTTTTTTGTTTGTGTAATCTTGAAATGTTATTTTTCAATAAAGAATTCAAGAGACCACAATGCAAATAAAAACTAAAAATCAAATGTTTCTAGAGTAACTTATACATTTGATGAATAAGAAAAAGAGAGCTTAATTTTATCTTTAATTTTCTTTTGCTTAGAAAAAAAGAGAGATTAATTTTCAAGAGAAAAGAGTAGAGTAAAAGAGTAAGTTCCAAGTATCAGGCAAACCAGGAAGACACCAATGGCTACAATCATTACCAGGATGGTTCCCACTAAAAGCAGAAGGATGTGCATCTTTACGTAGCTGAGATAAACCGGTTATGTCGAGCCAATAAACCGGTTTTTTCAATCTTCTCATTACTTTGTTTAGAACCACCCAAGCCATTGGTGTCCCTCCTGGATACTTCCTCCCATAAAATGGCTGAGTCTCACTCCTACATGACTTCATTGGCTGTCCCCAATCTTTTCCCCTACAGAAACCAAATTAATTTATCATCCGGTTTAGAAGATAACCGGATTTTTGAAGAACCAAGATTTTGTTGACACTCACTCGTAATGAGTAGGAGAAACACCATTGAAGAAGACTTTGGTCTTAGAAGGATTGACATTGGCATTAACCCATCGAGCCCAAGTGGTCATTCCTTTGTAAAAAGCAATAAGTCGGTTCATGTCTTTGTACAATCTATTCCCATCTTCCATGTAATCCCACCTGGT